GGCCCCCTGACGGGCCGCGGCCGCCTCCATGAAGCGGAAGAGCGAGCGGCGGCAGAGCTGGGCCGCCGCGCCCCCCTGCTCGCGGCGCGGCTCGTCGACCTCGCCGACCGTGAAGAAGAGCCGCAGCTCCTCGTCGCAGGAGCTGCACGACTTGGAGCAGGATGACCTGTACCTGGACATCACCGGTGAGCCGGCGAGAGAGCTCAGGGAGGGGCACCCGGGACCTGCGCCACGCTGCGCGGGGTCCCAGCCCACTCACCGGGTCTGTCGAGGCGCTCTCGAGCCCGGCTGACACGCCTCCCTTGCCCCCAGCCCCGGCGGACCACACCCCCTTCAGGTGCCCTGCACCCTGGGAGCGCCCCACTACCCCGACTTGCCATCTGGGCTTGTTTCGAGCTGTAACTTTATCGGTTTTGCACCCTTCTACGCGAGCGAGATGGGCCGAGGGTCACCTTTCTAAATTGCTGGCGTCAGGTCGGAGCCTCGGGCTTTTTCTAAGTTTGCAGTGACATCGCTTCTAGGGATGGCGAGCTTGGTTAGCCTTCACGCGAGTCTGAACCTCTGAATCACCCCTGAGGATTCCCCGAGTGCGCTGAACATGCCGGCCCCGGAGCCGCCTGGTTTGGCATTGCCAAAGCTCGGCTGCTCAGTAGGAAATGGAGTCCCGCCTGGGGCGGCGTTCCCCTGCCTGGCACCGAAGCCAGATCCTTGCTTGGGAGCCGGCTTGCCCCGCTCCTTAGCATAATTGCCCCTCCCCGTGCCTACACAAAAGCACACTCCAGACCGCCTAGGGGATAATCCCTTCCAGCGTTTAAGGAAGGAATGTTGATGGCTTTGGAACCGATCTGCACGCTAAATGCCCAGAGTTGTCACGTTGGAGAAATTGCAGCCAGCTAGAACAGGTAGAAAGGCAGCCCTTTGCCAGCTGTTGTTTTTAATTATTAGTGTCGATCGTACAATTCTTGAAGGCTTTCAGTTCAGCCTGGCCGTTGTTGGCTTTGCCAGGATTGACACCGAAACAGTGCAGGCATTAAATATGATGCATGTGGCGACACCTTATGAGAGAATTTGCAGTCGTTTTCGTGGCGTGGAGTGTAACCTCGGCGTGTGGGGGTTTATCATGTTTCTCACCCTTAGGTTTTGGTTAAACCAGGTGAGCTGGCGTGGTGAGAATTAGAAAGTGTCCAGACAAACTCAGAAATTTTATCGAAATTTTCCAGCTTGAAGGACGTTCTGGAAGCTAAGTCTGAGATGAGTCTTTACACAAAGATGAGAGTAGGGCGAAGAGCTGAAGGTTCCTCAGCGTGGGGTGGATGGCCTTCGGGAACCGAGCGGAGGAAGTGGCCGCTGATCCCCGGTTGGCGCCTGCCGGGGTCCAGCCTTAACTCTTGACTCTCCAAGGAGGTGAAGTCCGCTTGGGAGGCAGAGACCTGTGCCACCAAGGAGGGCTGAGGTGAAGAACCCACACTTTTCTTAGGCCTTTTATTCATCTCTTTTCAAGGGATCTCGGTCTAGTAGCATTTAATTTTAGGGCAAGTAATGTACTTACAAGGTCAGAAATCTTAATTCTAAAGATACACTTGCGTACACAGTGAAAAGTTGGTCCCAGTTACCGGGTGTCTTTCCCCAGAGACGATTTAAGCACCAAATTTCTTGTTAATCGACACAACTCTGTGTTCTGCCATACCCAGGCACTGTAGTGTGGAGCTTGTTGTTTTGCAGGTCCCCCCCCCCCCACAGTATTAGCAGAATGTTTGTATTAGTACATGCAAAGCTGCTTCATTAGATTCTGATAATTACTTAGGTCAAAGTAGATAATGGCTTTAAAGTATAAAATGTGGACGAGCATATGTATATTTAAGTGTACATATGTTTGATCACCTATTTAGAGAGCATCTTATTAATGAACAATTAGGTTGTCTACATTCAAAAAGGAGTTTTTTTGACTCAGTCATTGTGATAAATCTGCCTCCTTCATGGAGAGAAAAATGCAGCGTGGCTTGCTTTGGTGAGGCAGGGAACACTGAAGTAAATTCAGAAAACATCACTAAGTAGAATATTGAGGGAAGAGTTAGTGCATTATATAATATTAAAATGCTGTTATTTAGATTATAAGCCCAGATAATGGAAGGTTTCAACATCAGTGTTAAGATGCCTGTGGGGGCATTATGGCAGTCAGCTTGCCCTAAGATTTTTTCAAATGTCTCTCGGTAGCTTCAACTTTCTGGAAAAATGATAGAAAATCAGTGTTTCACTGTAATATACTGGACAGAGTGAAGTAACGTTGGGTGCAGGATGCAAATTATTTTTTATTGGGTTTATTGGAAAGGTCTGAGGCCTGCTCTCAGCAAATGGCAACCTAGTCCTATCCTATCAACAGATTTTGCCTCCTTTTATCCCTTAATTTAAAAGTAGTGCATATACATTTTAAAATTGAACCTCACCAAAGGAGAAGCATACAGTCTTGCTCTCCTGATAATTTTCCCTTTAATTTCCTGTGCATATTTAAGTTTCTTGAAATTGTGCCATAACAGCAAGAACAGTTCTCTCTCGTTTTAAAAAATAATATAATAGCTTATTTTTACATCATTTTGTGCCTTTTTCCATCTCAGTCGTAATCCCCGTGGGCTTCCCATCACCAAATCACCCACGTAAGAACGACAGTTCTCTTTTTAATGACTGCATGGTATTGTATTATACAGCTGAACTGTGATTTATGTAATGGTAATAAATAAATCACTGAATTTTTTCAGTTCCTTTTGTAAATGGCTTCAGTCACACAAGTTACTATCCACATGTGTGACTGTATCTGTGGTGTAAACGAGAACTGAAAGTACAGGTAAGAGTATATGTAGATTTATCCATTCTCCAGTGGCCTTTTGGGTGATTTAAGAATAATGCTATGCAAGTTTCTATGTAAACATGCTTGCAATTCCTTCAGTTATACACCTAGGAGTAGAATTATTGGACCACTTGGTAACTATGTTTAACATTTTGAGGCTCTGCCAGTCTCTTTACAGCAACCATTCTGCCAGCACTCCTATTATACCAATTATTTCACATATTCATCAAGACTTTGTTATTGGATTGTGAAGATTTCTTTGCTCTGGTGTTTGTTCTGTAAAAATTAATGCTTGTCACTTCTGCCTATACTATGCCCTTACATACTTTTTTAAAAACTTCTTATATATTTTTTAAATAATACAACAGTTTATTTTTATATCATTTTGTGTCTTTTTCCATTTTAGTTGTAATCCCCGTGGGCTTCCCATCACCAAATTACTCGTGTGCCATCACCATAGTTCAGTGCACTTCTCTCTCCCCCACCGTTTTTGATCTCATTCCCCACTCCACCCCGGTAAAATGTCTCTGGTATACAGTTGTTCATCATTATTATTTTCTCCCCTGGTCCTTTATACTCCTGCCATGAGTGAAACCATCCGGTATTTTTCCTTTGCTTTCTCTGCCCTTAAATACGTTTAAATTATTTACTTTAGACCCTTGACATTTTTGTTGTGAACTATTTTAAGTTGAACATCTGTATGTAGGCCCAGGACATTTCATGCGTGCATTAAACATTGGAAGGTGTAATGCCAGTTTTTTGTTTCTGTAGTTATGTGGTCACTGTTATTTAGAAGACTAGCCAGTCACCTTGCTACACTCACACTTCATCTGACTAGAAACAGACTGATGGGAATTTTATTCCCACTGAATCCCCTCAATCTCTAATTGTCACATGCAGTAGCACGGATTTTTGCCTGGGCTTTACTCCTGGTACAGTTCCAGTGCACTGTACAAAGGAAAAGTCATACACAGAGTGTAAAATGGACTGGTTTTCCCTTATCTAAAAGTGGAAGAACCCTATTTGGTATGATTTGGAAGGTTATTTTTGGGGTTTAGGAATGCTCAGATTTTTTTCTCTGTAATTTAATGGTAATAGCATTTCCAGACCCCAAAAATAACTTGCCAAGTAGCAAGTGGGAATGTTTCACTTTTACATTAATGCTAAAGAGATAGTAATGATGTGATTAGAATGAGTTGTTAGTCAGTAATGGAGCTGAAGGAACAGGAAGGCAAAGAGGATTTTCAGTAGATTTGGAACTAGCCAAAGCACAGGGAGGGAGACATACCAAACTACAAAATGTGTGTATGTGTGCCTCCTTGAGACTAGAGGTCTAAATCTTTTTAACCATTCCTTGAACAGGGCCCTCCATAAATAGCAGTATACATTTTCCCTTTCCTCCTTATTAATACAGGAAAATGTTTTATAGACCAAATACTACTGCATAATCTCTGTTGGATCATTTATAACCTTTAGCAGTCAGTATAGAATATCAATTTATTCAAGTTTTAAAATCTGGTAGAGAAAACTGGTTTGTTTTAAGTAAAATTTTGTGTTTGCTGTGATGTTCTCCTTTTAAAGAACATCTCTAATTTACTATTACTATGACAATAAATAATTTTTTTGGTGAAGCTGTAGTGGAGATGATCAGGACTGTCACTTAAATGCACAGATTATAATGGTGTAGTGATAGTCATCAAATAAAATTAAATTTAAAACACTGCTTAGACAGAAAAATTGTACATTAACTCAAGAAGTATTTATTGAATGCTTACTATGCAAAATAGTTATGTTTGTTTATTATTGTAGTGATAGAAGTATGCTGTTACTGGGAGTGCTGATTTAAGGAGGAAGTAAATTTGTTTTTTCGTCAAGAGTTTTGTAGAGTGGATTATCGTGTTTCAGTAATTGCAGTTTATCAAACTGTGTAGTATTCATTTTTTCCCCATGACTTATTTCTATCTTTACTCTTAGATTTGTGTATATTGTAAGTTTATTTCCTTGGTTTACGTGCTTGCTTAATTCAACAGTTTAACTTCTGATGATGTCTTACTACTTTACTGTGTTAAGTTTAATTTCTTAGGTATTTTCACACAGTTCACAGAGAGGGTTACTGCATCAATGGCCATAAAAAATGACTATACAAAAAGAGGATGGGAAAATGGAATACTAACTTTAAAATGTCAGAAGTTACCAGTCAGTGCACACTAACTTCTTTGGGCCTTGGAATGGAGAGGAGTTTCTCCAGTTCCTGTTGGGTGAGGAAAAGCTGGAATGAAACTTTATGGTAGAGTTTTAGGATACTTGGCATATCTTAGGATATCTGAGATTGCCAGTGGGGAT